GGCAGGCAGAGAGAGAGAGAGAGGGGCAGGCAGAGAGAGAGAGAGGGGGGCAGGCAGAGAGAGGGGCAGAGAGAGGAAGAGAGAGAAGGAAAGACAGGAGGAGGAGATACACAGGGGCAGCAGGACAGAGACACAGAGGGAAACAAGACAGACATGGGGAGGAGGAGAAGAGAGCCAGGAAAACAGACACAGGAGGAAGGGGTCATGGGAAAAATGGAGGCAGAAAATGGACACTTTTGCCATAAGGCAAGTAATTCCTGGGGCTAGCACCAGCTGGCAAAGTAGCTCCAGAAGGCGCATAGTCTGGCCAAGCCCTTGACTCCAGGGTTCTGGCCTTCAGGAACAAGCGTGAACACACTTGTCATCTCGTTTGTTGTACTTTGGTTCAGTAGTTCTAGTAAACACTATACCTAGTCCTGATTTGGAGGGTGAGGGCGATACCTCCTTATGGCAGGATTTATTAAGAGAAAAGACTTTCTTGGGCTCCACTCAGGACTCCAGGAGGTAAAACAAACAAAACCAAAACATTCCTCTCCCTCTCTGACAGAACAGAGACACAGCAGTACAGAGATCACTTACAGTCCAGTGTTCGGGTTTTATGATGAGAAAACGTTTTCTCATTTATCTGCAAAATTATTTTCTTGCTTTTAAGTTAGTAAACTGACAGATCAGCTCACATTAAAACTGAAATTATAGTCTACTTGTAAAAGAATAGTTTAGTAACTGTTAGATGCTTAAAATAATGATTTTCAGTTTTGTTTAGGATATCAAGTTTAGTATTAGAATAGTAGAACTCTTATGCAATGGCCACTTTGATGTTAACACATCAATTGGTGCCATCAAGCATTTACTTAAGCCCCAATAATTGTACAAAATATAAAAAAAATATACAACTGTTTAAGATACAGTCCTGGCTAGAATGAATGTTTCATGCCAAGGGAGGGAAGGGAGAGTTTCAAAGTGTCTGGGAAAAGAACTTTAAGAAACAAACACCAAAACCAAATAACTGTGAAAGAAAGAGGTTGCAGGCCGGTTCCCACAGAGGGAGCAAATTAAGAAGTGAGTGGCAGCTGGGGTCAGTGGTGGCCCGCTTTGCCTCCCATGCTGGGTTTGATGGAAAAGAAACCAGTTGAATAAATAAGGAGCCAATTTCCTGCACTTGGAAGCTGTACTGAGACTCATTGATTTCCCCTTTTTACATAAAGTATGGATTAACTATAAAACCAAATAGAGTGATTTTTGTTTAAGGCCAATAGAGAGACTTCCCTAAAACCCTTGGAAGTTACTACTCCTCCCTAAAAGGAAAGAAGCTGAACAGACTGAAAAGCCAGCAGCTGCTTTTGGATCTACAAAGGAACAGAGGACAGGGGCAGCCAGTTTTGATCCGCAGATGAAAGAGAGAACCAAATAGAAAGACTGAGAACTTACCCGAGTGTGGAGAGCAGCCACAGGGTGAGAAAGCTGTAACCGGAACTAAGGAGTGGCTCTAAGTGACTAAACCTTCATCAGCCTGCAGGAGATTGGGCCTGTCATTAGTCACAGGCTGGCAGAGGCTTATAGGGCCTGTCCCTCCTCCTCCTCTTCCCCCTCCCCCGGACGAACTATAAGCTACTGGTAGAGTCTGGGCAGTCAGGGGTGGGGTGGGGGGGGGGACCAGCAATTGTTTCCAGTTGTTTATACTCTGGAGCTTGGGTGCGAGGATGGGGAGGGACCCAGGACCAACGGCCAGGCCCAAACTAATGATCACAGGATAAACACAGAGGGTTGCAAAACGGAACAAAACGTCATGAACGGGAAAAGGGGACTTGTCTGGAAGAGGGAAGTTGATGTTGGTCGTAGGAGGGAGTTAGGAGAGGGTGATGGAGTGCCAGTTACCAGAATGCTACTTGTATAAATTCATACAATCGTCCAAGGACATAAGGAAAATCGTAGTTAAAACAGACAACCTCAGCGAACACAATCAAGGGAGCCCAGGAGCCATGCTTTTCTCCGTTTATCTTTAGGAATGCTACCAGATCCTCATTGTAAATACCAGACGAAGAAAATTCCTTGGATTCTGGGGGGGTGGTGGTGGTGGTGGTGGTGGCAGTCATGCTGATGTGCCCTGGAGCACTATCATTGGACAAGGTCTTCTCTCGGCAGAGGCCATTTCAGAGAATCTCAACTCCTGGGTCTGCTCAGAACCCAGCAGAAGTGATTGAGGGAGAAGACCCAATCTGAGGCTTCTTTTACTGCCCTGTCCTATCTAAGGGCAAAGGGGAGCTGAGAAACACTTTATCATCGCCCAGAGACACCAGCTCCTGAGTCACAGCGTTTTCCCTTCCTGGTCAAAGTGAGCTGAAATTCCCCGGAGCAGCTACATCTGTGTTGACACCCCTGCATAGTTCTCCATAACTGTGGAGAGATAAGATGCTGAACACTCAGGGGCCCAGTCATGCTGGACTCTCTCTATTCCCTGTACCAGGCATTTATTATCAACCGCTGTACTGGACTTACGAACATCTTAGTAATTAAACAAAATGTTCATAATATGTTAATTTAGCAGATGCTGTGGGGGGACATAACCCTCCATCTAAGGTCTCAAGGACAAACCAAAGCAGGATTCCACCAAAGTTCACCCTGGGGATCTGATAAGCTTATTGGACTTCCTTATTGAGCATAGGTGAGGGGTTACTTGCTAGAGGGTGGGAGCTCTCCTCCAAAGCCACACCAGAACTCTTGTCAAGTAGAGGTGACTTTCCCATAACCGTATTGATGGATCCCTCCCTACGCTAATCTCTTCTCTGTCCTGCTGTCTCGAGCCCCTTTCCAGGGCACGTGTACAGTTAGAGCAAAGAAACATACAGCACGTGGTAGGGAGAGGACAGCACGTGATTCTCCTGACCCTCCTCACCCTCTAGGAGGCCAGGTAACAAGTCAACAAGTCCAGCTGGGATGACCCTTTGCAAGCAGGCGCACCTGAACACCTCAAGATGGCGGCTGTTTGATTGCGGAGAGTCCTACACCGCATCCAACATCCCCACCATTTCCCCTGCTCTTGCATTCCCTCTGCCCTCCTCTTCCACAAGGTTTCCAGAGGGCGGTGACAGAGATGTCTGTTCGCTAAATCCAATGAGGGAACAAGCCCTTGTGCCCTTTCATTTTGCCTTCACCTCACAGCTGTTAGCAAGTTAGGGGAGTGAGGAAAAGGATAAAAATTAGAACAGAAAATTTTCCAAATATTTAGACTGCAGAAACAACGATTATAAACAAATGTGGAGAAGGACTTTAGGTGGCACATACACTTCTCCATGGAAAACTATGGCTTTCCCTGGTCACAGTCTTTTGCCTCTTGCCTCCCTGTACCAGATGTGACCTTCCCCCCTGTGACGCTGTCCTTAAGCCCAACCAGAAATCTAGGTCTACTCAGAAACACTCGGGCCACCATGGTGCTATTTGACACGCGTTGCCTGGCACTTTTGTTGTGAAGTATCCAGAACCCAAGTAGAACAGGACCTCTGACCTTGATTCTCCCAGGGACCTTAGCAACTTCTGGTGTCACAGGAGCTAGCTAGGAGGGAGGCATTTCGATCCCAGTCCTAGCTTTTTCTCTCCAAGTCTGGCAGTCAAAGCATGCAATCTCTTTAGCGACGGAGTCTTACCATGACAGCTGTGGCAAAGCCTTTACTGTTTCAGCCGCCGCCAAGGCCTCTGTGGTCAGCAATGCCGAGGAAAGTAACTTACTCCTCACACCGAGGTTCCTAATGGTCTTACTTCCGTGACTACTGCGGTGATGAAGCCCCACAGACAAATGTGACTTGGGGAGGAAAGGGTTTGTTTCGTTTCCACTTCCATATTACGGTTCATCACTGAAAAATCGGAGCAGGAACTCAGGCAGATCAGGAACCCAGAGGCAGGAGGTGCTTACAAACTCCGCCCCTCGAGGATTTGCTCAGCTTGTTGCTTTATTATAGAACTCCACCCACAATGGGCTGGGCTGGGCTGGGTTGGGCTGGGCCCTCCCACATCAATCAGTAATTAAGAAAATGTCCAGCTAGGAGATGGTGGCGCATGCCTTTAATCCCAGCAATCGGGAGACAGAGGCAGGCGGATCTCTGTGAGTTCGAGACCAGCCTGGTCTACAGAACAGAGCTAGTTTCAGGACAGGCTCCAAAGCCACAGAAAAACCGTGTCTCGAAAAACCAAAAAACAAAACAAAACAAAAAAACAAAAAAACAAAACAAAACAAAACCAAAAAAAAAAAAAAAAAGAAAATGTCCAACAGTCGACTCTTAGGGAGGTATATTTTCTATTGAGGTTCTTTCTTCTCAGATGACTCTCGCTTGTGTCAAGCTGACATAAAAACCAGCTGGCATGCTAACTAATCTCCTCTCGGCTTCGAGGAGCACACTTTTACCTTTTACATACCCTTTAATATCTGCAGGCCCAGGCTACTGTGAACTTCCCCCAATTACCTTGATGGCTATCACTTGCATCTTTCCCAACCACGCGGAGAATGCCACAGCAACACCTGGCCTGGCCTTTTGGGCTGGTTGTGAACTAAGTCCCCATGCTTGGTTCTTCCACTTCTTCACTGGCCTGTCTGTCTCTTAACTGAGTCTCTGACTCAGGAAAACACTCCAAGTCTAGCGTTTATGCCAAGCCACATGTAAGAAGACTTTTATACAGAGGTTGGGCAGAGCAATGATGAAAAGTCCCAAGCCACCCCAAAACGAAGAGTGGGAGGGTGGAGCTAATCCTTGGTGAGGCAATTTAACGTCCATTGGTCCCTGGGAATGTCAGGTTATTACAGAAGTTTAAAACTACCGGCGACCTTGGCCATTTCTTCACGGGAGTAGCCAGGAAGGGTCTCATCCTGAGAGACCTGCTGTGGGACAATGGTCTTTTAGCCTGTCGCTTGTATTATTTTTAATAAAACGCCAATTGGCCAATAGCCAGGCAGAAAATATAGGTGGGGCAACCAGGCAGGAAGTAGAGACAGGGCAATGAGAACAGGAGAATGCTGGGAAGAGGAAAGGTCAGTCTGCAGTTGTCACCCAGACCGAGAGGAAGCAAGATGAGAATGCCTCACCAATGGAAGGTATGAAGCCACGAGGATAACACAGACAAGAATAATGGGTTAAGATGTAGGATGTAAGAATTAGCTAATAAGAAGCCTGAGCTACTAGGCCAACCAGTTTTATAGTTAATATAGGCCTCTGTGTGTTTATTTGGGCCTGAACTTCTGCAGTACTGGGTGGAACAGAAACCTCAGACAACAGGGGGAGTAGAATAGGAACTGCCTGCACTTTTTGATCACCTGTCCCCTTTACTCTTAAAACAAATCGCTGGTCTGGCCCTAAAGCCCTCCTTAAGCTGACCAACAAGGTGTTCTGTTACCCACCAGTTTTTGTGGCTAAGGATTCTGGCTAGGTGCAAGTCCAGCCAAGTCTGTATTCGGAAAATGTGAAGGTGCAATTTACCTGGCTTCCTCCCCTCTCAACTTGCTCCTATTGCCTTAGCACATCATGAACATTTTATATTTTTGCATGCGGATCCGAAATGGTTAGATTGGCCCACTTCATGCAGGTCCCGGTAACTCGACTGCAACCCATATCCTACACCGGTCTCAAGGCCCTGGTTTAATTTCTTTCTTAGTCTCCCATAAATACAAGTCTTGACCAGGCTTGTGACCTGGCCATCAAACAACACTTCCCAATACCCAGTTCTTTTAGTAGTGCCTGCCCTTTTTCTATTGGTTCCTGCTTCTGATATTCATGAGGACCTCAGCTAAGATAAGCGCTCGTAGCAAAGGCTTGTATGAGCCTTGTATGCGGGACTGGTTGCCCCGAGATAGCCTTAGATTGTGAAGCCTTTTCCTCAGGAAGGGACGGTTGGGTTATATCTCTCAGCTTTCAAACTGACCCTATCTGCCAGCATGTCCCACAGCCTCACAAGGCGGGGCGAGGGGCTCCTCCACTGCTTGTTTGGAAGTCTTCCCCAGATCCAGCAGCTCCTGGCATTGGATGTTCTGATTACCATAGTCCTTGGCTCCAGACTACTACTAGACCTCTGTCAGCATACTGGACCCTATGCTTTCTCTTTCTCCAGATGAAAGGTAGGTAGGACGGAGGAGGAGAGCCTTCTATTACTTCTAGGTAACTCTCTTCCTCAACTACCCCACTCAGCCCACAGGTTTTGCTGCCCCAAGAGAGGTTCTATAATTTGGGCCTCTTCTGCCATTGGCCCCCAGCTGTGAGAGGCAGCAGGCAAATACCTCCATTTTCCCTCTGCTCTCATCCAATTTACCTGCAAAATCAGAGGCCAGGAGTTGAGACTCAGACCGTATATCCATTTCTGGCTCCAGTTCCCTCCTGACACCTTATTTGAGAAAGCGGCACCCAGGCTGCTTCTGCAGTTACTTGCTGGTAGTTTTGCCCCCTCTCAGGCCTTGCAATGTCTGTCTCAGACCTTCCGTTGTTCTCAGAGCATCCCCATACACCGAAGGCATACCTCATCCATCAATCAGGCATACCACTTCGTACCTATAAGACTGTCACCCTACAGAGGGCCTCTGCCCAGATGGCCTGATTGTAGTGGCATTTTTCCATTACTCTCGGCCCTGTTCATGTCCCAACTACTATCCTCGCTAGTCCTATAGGGACAAACAAACCACCATGTCAAAATTTCCCCTGCAATTGTCCCCCAAATTAACTTCATTTCACTTGTTTATCTCATTCCCTGTACGAGGGACAACACCATATTGCTCTTACCAAACTCATTCTTGAGTTTTGTCCTATCCTGATGTCTAGCCAAGCATTGTCCGATCCTGCTCTCTAAGCTGAGCATTACTAAAATTACTTTCCATGGGGAGACTTAGGCAAGGCCTACCCCTCCTCTTAAGGTCCCAAGGACAAATCAAGGTAAAATTCCACCAAAATTTACCCTGGGGAAACTAAGGAATTTATCGGGCTTACTTACAGAGCATACTTACAGGTGAAGCGTTACCACCTGGAGAACAGGGACTCTCCCCATCCACAGGAAAAAAGCTACTACAGAAGCTTATCTTTCTCTTAGTCTAATCACACGTGAGCAAATCAAACAAACCCAGGATAGCTGTTGTCCACTTTCATTGGCAAATACAGCACAGAGGATATTGTCTGCAAGTGGGGAGGTCATCAAAGAGGAGGTGGTGGAGGCTCATTTTCATTATTACTCTCTTTTAAATTTAGGTTTTCTGAAGCAACATTTAAAGGCATAATATCTACACAGCCTATAGCACCAGAATCCGCCATCTCCTCCCATTCGTCTACCCGACCCTTGAATACAAGCGTCCTCATGTGAGGACGAGCTCTCTTCAGGCACTAAAAAAATAAACGCAGGCAGAAAGGAGATCCTGGACAAACAGGCTGCGGTCTGCGCGCTCGCTTTCCATGGACTGGCTCTCTGCTGCAGACATTTTGGGATCATTCAACCTTGTTAATAGGGACTGGGAGTTCTGGAGAGCCTGCCGGCTGTGTTGGCTGTGGCCGTGGGCTGTGTGATGGTGGTGGTGGTGATGCAGCTTGTGTTAGTGCACCGGCGGCGGCATGGCGAGCTGTGTCCCCGTTGTTGCCCTGCCTGCCTGCGCAAGCTGCCGCTCAAGTCACAGCTGCATCTGCAATTGTTGCAACTGAGAAGCAGAAGGGCCCTGAAGAGTTAAGCTGTCCTCCTTCAAAACAACTCACTCCTGATAACTGAGATAACCGCTCAGCTATAGGATCCGTGGCTTCCTTACTGCTTGGAGAGTAGGGAAACGGAAGAGGAGAGCCCGCCCGTGGAGCCTTAAAGTGCGCGTTTGATCTACGAGGGCGAGGGCCTCCCAGCCCCCAGCCAGGGTGAAATACCACTCAATTCATCTAAACCTCTAGGGACTCTGTGTTCAAGTGTCAGAAGAGCTGCGAAGTCACCTGTGACATGATTAGGATCGCCTCCAGGTAACGCCGCACATATCGGACAAATCACTTCTGTTGCTGTTTCCGCATGTTCAGAAATAACAAGTTCTTGAAGAGATGTTTCCGTGTAGCCCGTTTTTTCCACAATAGGGACAAGTAAAAGACTTGTGGCTGCTCTACAGAGAAAGCTTCCCCACCATTGTACAAATCAAAATCTACCCTGGTTAATAATATGCACTGCATCGGGTGGTCAGTTGTGTGCCTTGTTGCTGTGTCCCGCTTTCATAACAAGATGCACAAAGATCGTAATCGTAGCCAATTAAACCCTTGTATCTGCGACCTCGGAAGTTTCCTTTTAAACATGCATCACAGCTGACACCTTCATGTCGGGACATCCTAGCTCAGATGGTGGTGGTGTGGCCCCTCCCGGGCCCAGCCAGCCAACAGTGTGTCCCCAAGGCGGGCTCTATGGATGCTCTTGGGCCCAGCAGCCAACTCCCACTCAACTCCTAGGCTCGGCTGGGCTGCAGGGGCGGGATGGGCAGGGGAGTGCTCCCGCAGCATCTGTGGCTGGCTGCGATGGGGCGGCGCGAGTCGGGAATCTAAACATTCTAACTACAAATAATTACTTGAAGTGCACTTTATCATATAAACTTAAAAGCAGCCATATTGCTTATTTACAATGAATTTTTGGATTTATTGGACCTATAAGACAAAAACTGCAGAAAGTCTTTGATGAATTACTGACCACGAAGTAGGAATTATACATTTATCTTCTAACTGTGTCAAGGAAACTGTTTCACAAATATACATAAACAACATTTTATGTTTTGATATCACATGGGAATATCACATACACTACTACTGTTCATTATAATAATAATAGTAAGAACAAGCTAATATTTATCAAATGACTA